TTAAAAAACACAGGCCCCAAAACACTTCCTTGCGGAACTCCTCTTTTAACATCTTTCCAACTGGAAAAGGTGTCCCCAATCTTGACTCTCTGCTGTCTCCCCGAAAAATAATCCTTGAAGAGTGCTAAACTTCTCTCTCCCACACCATAAGCTTTGAGTTTTGCTAAAAGTAGATTGTGTTGAATAACATCGAAAGCCTTAGAAAGATCCATTGAGACTACCGCAACTAATTCCCCTTTATCGAGCATAGCCCTCCAGTCCTCAATTAACTTTAGCAGCGCCGTCTCGCAACTGTAGAACCTTCTGTAAGAGCTGATGGAATCCGACAGAATCGCTTGATAAAAGTCTCCCAGCTGTGCTATTAGCAGCTTCTCATATATATTGTTGAGTACAGGTAGGACTGTGACAGGCCTATAGTTTTCTTTTTTAAATTCATCACCCTTCTTAAACAGCGGTGTCACCTGCCCCATTTTCCATACACTCGCGTAGCAACCTTGAGCAATTGAGGCATTAAACATATGAGCAATGGGCTCAGCTATCACAGCTGCCGATGCTTTGATTAGTCGCGGCGGTATCATGTCGTGACCACTCGACTTGCTCACATTAACTTCTTTAAGCAATTTTTCAACCTGCACACAGTTGGTACAGTGAAAATCAAAAGAAAGTGGCGTATTGATGTCCCTATAATGTTCATGAATGGCCAAAATACTAGGATGATTTTCGAAGTCCTATTCATAGTCACTGTCATTTATCCCATAAGACTTATTATTTCAACATCCCCTAAGACTTATTATTAATATATATTTTTAGTTTTCTTTGACAACAGGATTATGATCTTTTGAGATCTTAGCCGCTCCTCTAACTGGCTAAAATCTATTAGTCTAGTCGAGCTAAAGGATTAAATGATTAAATAAGATAAACAAGAAATTCAACCTTGGGTGAAATGTTCGAATCTTGATATCTGAGTTCGATGATTATATTTTTGTTTCAAATTTCAATCTCCTTTGACGTAGGTTACTTCAATACAAATATCGATTCTTTTGCGTAGGTTCCAACTTAACTGATATCATTTTTCAGCCTGAAAAGTGGTAGAGTAAAAATGGTAGAGTAAAGAAAGCTATCCTGTGAAAAATCCACAGTGATTAGCCGAGTAGCGTTTAAAAAAAAAACAATGGGCAACAACAGCAACAAAAATTGACAAAACCGAAATCTTGGTAAATCTTGTAACTCACTTACAGGTTTGCGACAAAAAGAGGGGTGTGATGAGATCTCAGAAACAGAGCTACTTCTGTTGACCAGGCCTTGTGTGAGGAGGCAGTAACTCTATTAACTCTAAAATGTTAATATACATACTTCATACTTACTTAGACTGCGTAGTTTTGCAGTGTTTAGTTTGTTATTTCGTAAAAAAACTTGAGTGTCAGATGGAGTAAAATGATGTGCTCCTGTGAAAAATTGGCAGTTTCCAGTCGAATAGCCCGAGGGGTTGGAGTACGTGTAGCCACAGTAAGTATAGGAATGTTGATTACTGTTAGCGTTGTCGTCTATCCGGATGTCATGTCCAGAACCAAAAGTGGGCCCGTAAGAGGAACATCTGTACACGGCGCAGTGCTGGTTTTGGTATTGTGTCAGCTTCACAAGATTGTATCCTTTGATGTTATAGAGAGAGAAGATGAATGCTTTACTGTCGTAAGAACAACCTGCACAAGAACCAGCTGAAATAGAAGAACAATGTAGTCGTGCGTTTAGAAGTTCGAAGAAAACATGAACCCCATGAAAGGGGGAAGGAATCACTTTTTAAAGTGGCCAAGACGGGTAGTTTTTTCTCAAGCTAGAGGTTTACGAAAGGGAAGAAGAGATTCTACGAGTTTGGGTGTAGAAACGGGCACGTGTAAGAATTATAGAAGATTTGAGGGGTTACTCTAAAGAAAAGTGGGTATAACTTTTTGAAACTTTTGTGTCTCAGTGTTGTTGCCGATTACTTTATGTTTTAAGATGTAATGTTGTTCTGCAGGCGTATCAGGTGGTAAACATTTCAATTGATGATAAACGTGTGAAAAAACCAAAACACGAAAATAAAATGATAAAGGCTTGAAGCTCATAGCAAAGGAGCATCGTTCAAAAATTCATCGAGCACCCCCTCCACTCTCTAAAACTCCCAAGGGAACCAGGATTGATGTAATGGGATGATCTCATCCTTCTTAAAAAGTTTGATATACCTACCTCCGCCCTAGGACACTTCAGTATATCCACCAAAGATGTAGTCGTTCACTTTGATGATTGTCACTGTGGGTCCCCTCCCATCGCAGTTGCTGTGGAATGTAGATGCCACCCAGCCGTCAGTCTTAGCGTGCCAACACCTTTCAAAGTCAGTACGGGATGTACTGGGAAGAACTGGGTCTAAAAACGAAATCAGCTTTCCCAAGTACATGTTGGAATCCAGGGTTCCAAGAATATAAGATGTACGAAGGCCACCTATGTTCGTGATCAAAACTCGAATGTGAACTACAATTATAGATATCATAGAATCAAGAAAGATGTTATTCCTTTTTTCACGACCGTCGGAGTTTTCTACGATTAATTGAGTCCCAGATCTTCTTATTCACAATATGAGGTGCTCACCATGTAATCAGATTTAAACTCAATATTTCCCCGTGAGTTTATTCTCATTTATGTAGT